AAATATCGAATTTTGAAAACCATGCTGTTTCAGTCAAGCAAAATCAAATCTTTTTCGTAAAATTCAGGAATGCTCTTTAGTTTGACCTATCTGAATTCGGAGACTGCGTTAAGGATATTTTTAACGTTTCAAATTACTAATGTTAGGATGAAAGAAGCGAATATTATTAGCATTTCAAATGACTAATGTTAAGATGAAAGAAGCGAATATTATTAACATTTCAAATGACTAATGTTAGGATGAAAGAAGCGTCTAAAAACTTCAAATAAAAAAATAAAAAATTATGCAATATTTTTTATGGTGCGAAAAATTTTCAGATATAATTTTCTACCTTAAAGTACATTTAAGAATTGATTTATTAAATAATCAAGTACATTTTTATAAAAATTACTCTCGATTTTATTTCAAAAAAAAAAAAAACTTGACTATTAGTGTAATAATTTTTATATTAACTGCAGTATTATTTGTTGTTATTCGCTATTTATCAAAAATGTGCTTTTTAACGTTTTCTTTTAAAAATTATTAATTATTATATATATGAATGCACAACCTTCTGAATGCATAAAGTTATGAAAAAAGTATTATAAGACTTATGGTATGCTTTTATATCATTCCCTTTATTGAACATGGACGTATACAGATACATTTAATTTGACTGCATACAGGGGCGCATATTTACCTCTTCGCCTCAGGTAAAAAAATTACCCAGGCACGGCTCTGGGTACAGACAGCGTGAAAGGGTCTGGAGACAGCCTACGGTTTAAGGAAAACACTCGTGTCCAACTCATTTTCAGATTTATGTTGTAAAATACAATAACTCCCCGACTTGCGTAATACACGACTTCCGGAAATTCACAGTTACGTAAGGGTTACGTAATTGTCGTAAAATTCATAAATATAAATTTAGTAAACAATTCTTTCTTTTCCCGAACCGGCCTTCAAATAATATTCGTGAGATTTGTTTAGTTACTAACTTACCACTATTAATATTTGTTGTGTATTTACTCTTGAAACAGATTCTAAGCACAACACCGAATGCTCTGGTAAAAAATCTAAATAAAGCAATTTAGAACAAATGTTAAAAATAATTTATGTGTGGAAACATAAAAAAATATATTAATATTAACAATGGCATGTGGACGTGATATAAATCGACCTATTTCGACGCTGAAAATGATACTGAAGGATAAAGCTTGCATTGTTAAAAGCACGAAAGGTGCGAAAATGTCGAAGGGCATAACCATGACCAAGAAAAATCTAGATCCATTTCTATAGGTGGTGTGTGTGTGTGATTATGGCAAAGCCTCTAGGGCTATCTGCCTAAGAGGAGGGATGCTTTCGTGGAGGACTTTCTAAGGGAAACTGGCTCGTATACACGTTACACATGGGGAAAACCACGAAAACGCCCATGCAGCCAGCCCGTTCGCGGGATTCGAACCTCATTTCTATAGGTGGAGAAACTGTTGTCTCACTGAATCGCTGAACTGATATACAAGCGAATATCCTTTGAGTTTTCTGATTACTTAGAAGAAGGCTTAGATAAATATTTACAGAAGTAGGCCGTCATCCGAAAAGTGAGCGGCTCGAGAATGTTATTAGCCATATTCATTTCAGTATACTACAAAACCATATATTATGGCAAATATCATGTAACCACAAAATCTACTCTAGACGTATTTGTTAGATGCGACTAATACCTCAGACGATCCTGACTATCCTCAGAATATAACATCAAGAGGGGCAGAAGATGTCAAAGAACAGCATTTCTTTTCCTAACCATCCACCTCTAGAGCCAGTTCTCCAACTGCAGAACCAAATTAGCTGTCAGAAGATGTTTTTTATTTGAAAGGTGCTTTTTCAGCTTGGTTTTATGTACTTTTGGGTAGTTTTCATACTTTTCTATTAATGGATCCATCCCCAGCCTGTGCACTTCATGTTGACGTGCCGATCCATGGCTTTACGGCTTAAAGCCATGGAGCCATGGCCGTGAAGTTCACGGAGTTTTTTACGCACAAAAATTCTTCCAAATGCCCGAACAGTGGGGCATACAATCCCAATGGTGGCGTATTCGCCGTCAGGTGAGATACAGAACTTTGCATCGTGCATTTGTTAGCAGTACTCGGGCTGGGCCTTCGGCTTAATGGAAGGAACGTAGCACAATCTAGAAGTAAAATTAGAAGTAAAATAAAAGGAGATAAGAGTAATATAAAAATGTTTCTCGTAATCCGAATAGCCTAAACATGTACGATTTTAAGGGTTAATGTTTCTTCGGTTAAAACATTTGCAGACATTTTGTAGACATTCTAGAAAAGTTATGAAAAATACAAAAAAATGTTTTAATCGATGTTTTTAAATATTAGTAATTCTTTGGTTAAAACTTGCAGACGTTCTCGAAAAACTATGAAAATACACGAAAAGAGTTTTTCAGCCAAAGATATCCATAAAGGTCGTTATATCCAATTTTCTTACCCAATAAGCATATGAAATAAAGTTTGTAGAAAATTAAATGCAATCGAAACATTCATGAATTATATCCTGGAGTTTATGAACTGTGTTCGCTACAGCGGGGTTTGACTGTATATTTGAATTTGTTATTTTAGAAGAGCAGGTTAAGAGGCTTTTTACCCCGCCTTTTCTTTTCCAAGAAAACTCTTGTATGCTTCGCCTTGATTGCTTTTAGTATCTAAATACTGGGAATATACGAGAATATTTATATCATTGCTCGTTAACCAAAATGTTGACGTTTAAAGTATATTAATTTCAGTGAGTATGCCATCTATATGAAAGTAATATTTAACTTCTTTTAATAGTCAAATTTAGGCAATCCACGGTATCCATTTCAACTAACCTTTTTATTATAAATGCCAAAACATATCTTTCCTCTAAATATTAACAAAATTCAACATATAGGAAAAACTCTTTATCGACATTCTAGAATTCAGAACGCTTAATGCTTCGTTGTAATACACTTTTTTTTTTTTTTTTTTAAATTTAGATCTTTTTCTTATGTTTTTAACTGTAACACTAAAACTTTTCGATAATAATTTACCTCCTTTTCGCTTTTCAACATTTAATTTTTAGTGGCGCCATCTAACGCGATTCTTTGTCATTTTTTAAAATTTATTTTACATGGTGCTACTTTTTATGTTGATAATAAAATAATTTTATGAAATCAGTTTCTTCAGGTGGTAAAGTAGGTATCAGTTTCTCTAGGTATTTTCTCTTTTATCTGAAAAAAAAAAAAAAAAAAAAAAAAAAAACTACTGACATATATTAGCTGTTTTATATGGCCACAACGAAGGAAAAAAAAAATATCTGTTTCAAAATTTATTTATTTGAACTCTTATAAAGTGTACGTTCATGTTAAATAATTCATCAAAAAGAAGTTGAAAACAGTTGTGTTTTTTCCTCATTTAAATTCTTAAACGAATTTCTGTTACTACATTAAGGTATTTCACGTGCATATCTACTTACTTTTGTTACATTAGCGACGTTTCGATGCCATAAATTTGAAGTAAATCAAGGTATGTCGTTTATTGGGTACGTGTTTTATCATTTTCATGTGAACGAAATATTTCCCTTGCAGTAAAGAATTTCGTAGGGAAAGAAATAGGATTAAAAGCCTACCACTAAAATAGATAAAATTTTAACGTATTTCTTTTTTGCCCCTTCTTTTTTTAACTAAAGTATTCTTATTGCATTGTTAAACGAGTTCTGCCTTCAGACTGAAATCCCCTTAAAATAAAGAAAGAGATTCAACTCTTTATTAAACTTACAGCTAATTTTTTTTAAAGCGATAAAATAGGCTGTTGTACTACTTTGGCTGAAAATTTAGATAAAAAAGTCTAATTACTCTAGCGCATTCTTAGAAATACACCATAGATAATCGCAGACCATTTATTCAGATATCAGAAGTAATCATAACATGCGCTATCATCTAGATCAGCGGTTCTCAACCTTTTGACTAAACAAAAATTGAAAACCTTTAGTACCACCACTACTCTTGAACAAAGCTGAGATCGCATACATTTACAAGTGTTAGAGAAAAAATTCAATGACGATGTTGGGGTTTTAATTTTTGAATTTAATAGTTAAAAATATTTTGCTTCTTTGCTACCACATATTTTACTCTTGCGTACCACCGGTTGAGAGCCCCTGATCTAGATATCTAATGCAAATAAATCAGGGATGTTTAAATACAAGCTTACTCCCATGTAACTTATCTGAAAATATCCATTATTCGTATCTATAATGTTGTCAAGCGCTGATACCTGACAGAAATCGAAATTACTCATGTGAAGTGAAATACTCAGGATATCAAGAGAAAGTAATTTGTCTTTATCATTAATAGGTATCAGTTAGATATATTTTGGATGCCACTGGTTATTTTGAGAAACTGAAGACGGATTAGAAAGGTTTATTAATAAAACGCTTTGTTGGCCTTCAATATTACATTTGTTGTCTTTGGGCATTAGATACTTCATTTGCTGCTGGGAAATTTTAAGGTTTATTATGAAGAAACGCATTACAACATCACTTTTCGGAAGGTTAAAATGAATGAAGATTATTATATGCAATTTCCCTTAAAAGTTTGTTACATTTATGTTATACAAAGACATACACAGGGAGTATTGCAGGGAATCCAGTTGCTGATTCCGAACTGCAGCAGTGATTCGCGTGAGAGTTTCTCCAAAAAATCTTCATTAAACAGTAAGGAGTTTCATATATGGAACGTTTATATATATATATATAGTTTTTACGAAATTTCAACGTAGAATACAAGAAACTTTACAGAAAGCATATTATTGGTATATAACAACTTAACGTTTTGATCGCTTTCTTATACCAATCCATCCTCCGCGTATTACAAATACGTGATATATTTGGGTCCTATTTTATGTCAGTTTCACGTTGTTGTTTTCGGGGTAAAATATTGGCGACAATATTTGGCGAGAGTTATAGTAACCCTGCAACCGCTACGTTGCTCAGGTCTCTGCTCCTGCACTTGCCGCGATGTCCGAGTCCTTCGCGGTTTATGGAGAATGGTGCTGCTTAGCTTTACAAAAAGAAGCAACAAGAAACGGTTCCCGTGGAACCTGTTTTTAATTTTCGTTACTTCGAGAGGCAAGGTCGGCAAAATAACCTTTCACTCCAAGACGTAGGCGTGTCCAAATGAGAAGCTGCTGCTCTTGTTTAACACTGCGAGAGCCGGCCGTCATTTAGATCCTGAAGACTGTCGCGAAACCGAAACTCACGTCAAAAGGATTTTTTCGCATGCGTTCATGTGACGTTCCGGTAAGTTGATGTTACGCTTACTTCACGTTCGCGCCAGGTATGTTTCCAATCTAACCAGCGTCCGTTATGATAGTTGGGCATCACAGTTTGCGACATACCATTCGCCGAAACGAGGCCAATATTTAATTTGCAACATCAATTAATTTAATTTAAACCACTGTCACAACATTTACTGAAAACTTTTCTAATCGAGAAAATATGTGGTGCGAAAACACCGAAATAAAAATTCATCGTAACCGCTATTTATTCTGAATAAATAACGAAGAACGTAACGTACGTTATTTATAATCATTCCATAGTGATATGAAAGTTAATTGTGGGTCATGTTAGTATATTTTGTGTAATAATGCGTATATAATGTGCTGATACACAATACAAATGTCTTCACATATGTTTAGTTAAAAAATTATTTGAAAAGCTAAGAAAATGGATGATCATATTTATTCTGCCTTTCAGGTATGAAAAGCAAATAGCAGTAGGGAATATTTGCCTTCACCTTTCTTTTGAATAACTTAGATTTACTCTATATTTGAAAAGAAATTTTCTTTCTGTCAAATATTAATAATGAAAAATCAAGTTTTCAACTTTTTAGAATTATGTCAATGCAAACATTTTTGCACGACTCAGTGTCAAAACATCATGAACCAATCATGAAATTTATGTACAAAAAATTTTTTTTAATGTTTACTTTATTATTTCCCTACATAAAATTAAAAAAAAAAAATTCTTACTTTTTAAATGTGTGTTTTTCATCAAGGCATAAATCTCTTTTGTTTTGTAACATTATTAAGAGGGGCATTTGCAGAATTTGCTATCCAGGCTTATTATGCCAGATTAATCAGATAAGTAAAAATGTTTACATAAAGGGAACTATTTCATTGTACCATATATCGAAATTCCTACCTTTATTGTACCTCTCATTCCTTTTTATGGTTTCATTTTCAAGTTTCATTTCATCATAAACGCAAAGTCAGATAGCAGTGTCGGATAAAAAGTAAGATTTTATTTCAACGGAATTATCATTCTGAAAATACTACAAGTTTGGTATTTAAAATTAGCAGATGCATTCATTTCTGTTGCTTATATTTCATATGATAAGAAGGCATGTTTCCTGTGTTTTTACTGTTTAATTTGAATGAATCCTTAAATCATTTCTGGAGAAAAGTTAATACAGTAATATATATGACTTAATTTAATGTTTAGAGGAAAATACAAACTTTCCGTGCGCATTTTCAGTAGGTGGATATAAATACACCTGTTGATTTTTAGCCTTACGTTCTTAGAATATTAGGAAATTATAGTATTTTTCATTTATATTTAATTAAGGATGACCTAACAATTAAAAATCATAATTTTCAAAGCTAAAGAAAATTATTAAAATTTTTAATCCCGTGAGCAATTTTATCTTTATGCTGATCTTCAGTTATACTGAATTAATGCATATTTTAGGTTATGAAATATTTAGAAAGAACTAGTTTCATTTTTACTTGTATTTTAATGTGTTACTTTCAAATGTACTACATTTTTATAGTAATTATTTGAATATTCACAGAGAAATATTTTAAAGAATAATGTTTATGATCAGTTTGTGCATAAATATCATGCTCTGTTGTGGGTGCAGTGAATTGTCAGGAAGAAAACTAAAAGAACTGAGTGTGTCTGTTGTAAAGCATGTTGTCCGCATAACATTTTTCCTTATTTGCTTAATTCCACTGGTATAGCTTTATTAACTTTAAGTGTTTTGTATAAACAAGGTTTCGATACAGGTGTAGAGTTCTTATATTGAGAAAGTATTTATACTTTGAAGCTGAGACTATTAAATAGTGATCCAGAGATAATTGGAATTTAATTATTAATTATGTACAATAGAAATGAACAAAAAACAATGATTGAAAACCTGCTTATTTCTTAAAATTTGCAGCAGAGGGAAATTAAAATCATGTAGTTGGCTTTCTTTTGGCATAGGTATCTGGTATAGCCCTTTATAATGGAAAAAAAAAAGTATTTTTGTAATAGCTTTATATTTGGTATTTGAAAGTTATAATGAAAGTTGTGTATGCTGTTTAGAAAATAACTTATTTCAGTTGTTAATATTTTGTTTTCACTGTAATCCTTTTTCTCATTGTAAATATTGTAAAGGAAATTCAGCAAGCTTCCGCGCCGATAGTGAGTTGTTATTCGTAATATCAGTGATATTTTTTTCAGCAGATAGTTAGAATGTCAAAATATTTTTTTAATTCAGAAAAAAACCATATTTAAATCATAATTTAATCTGTTAAGCGAACCTCTTCATGGCCACAATCGCAGCCGTAGGTGACATCACTGAAAATGAGCACATAATAGATAATAGTATTGGTAATTTTAATATTGTTCACTAAGATGATCTCTAAAATGTTTTATTTCGCTATTAAACTAAAATACTTTATATGCCAATCAAATCAAAGAGTAGTCTTTTCCAACTATGACAGTAAAACTATTTCTATAGAAAACATTAGTTAATCATTTTTGAATCATTAATTTTATCTTTCCGAATCTTGTTTTAATTTCTTATATAAGCTAGACTGGGAGTCTGATACTGCACGCTTTAAGTGACGCATCTTATTTCTGAATTGCTTACACTAATTGTTCTCATTTCCAGCTAATTTGTACAGTTGGTAACGAACGTATCACAGATCAATATTTAGAAGGTGCCAAGTACAAACATTTTCAATTTTCAACGTTAAATACAATAAAACACTAATTATTTTATTTCTAATCTGACACTTTAGCTTATGTATATGACACATATGTCGACTGGGGGATACATTCGTAAATTGCCTGCCAAAGTTTCTACCTTTAAGAAGCAGAAGAAACTCTGCTGGAGGGAGGAGGTGACAATTCTGGCTGTTCCCTTACCTAAAGCTTTAAATTTGTAAATAAGTTAAAATAATTAGGTCGTAATCTGGAGAGTCATAAGATAATTGATTTATTTTATGAAGTTCAAACTATTTTAGAAATATAGATTTGTGATTAGTTTCTAAAATAGTAGATTTATGTTATGAAGCTACTATTTTAGAAATTATTTCAAACTATTTTAGAAATTTTATTTATTTAGTGATTAAGAAAAGACAAAAATTTAGTAAGATGACTTCATTGAATGAATATTTAATAAGAAATAAACACTTCTGAAGCTACAAAACTAAGATTATAATTTTTCTCCTCTGCTTTACCTGTAATATATATTTTCTGTTGTTTAAAATATGATTAATTAACATTATTTCAGATAATTAACATAACCTAGTTAGTACGTGTATTTAATTCCTAGTTTTATTATAAAATCAAAATAACACATTCATACGTCCGTGTTTTTCTTCAATGACACCAGCAGTTTTGTATAATATAAAACTATTACGCAAATTGAAAATCCCTATCACCATTAACCAAACTTTTGCAAGGCGACCATTTCCACAGAAGATCTAAAGCGTCTAAAACTCTTTAATGATCGTCTTATAAAGGATTCAATGTATTTATTTTTCGTCATGTTTAACCTAATTAGCTATATAAATAAATCCCTGGAAAACTGTTACTAAGACTTCTATACTTTTCACGATTAGTACTATTATTTGCTAAATGTATGGATAGTAAACGCAGAAGCGGGTGAAGACATTGAATACGTTTCTTCAGATACGGAGAGGGAATGAAATTAACGACAAAATGTTGAGTCATAGTGTGACGGAATTGGTTAAAGTCTGAGAAAAAAGCACTTTTTTTTCTGTTTAAGGTCTCTACATATATTTAATGTTTTTACGTGAATTGAGAGTACGCGCGAGTGCCAGTATAAACTATGAATGCTTTTGAGAAATTATTAATAATCCTCATGTTGGAGATCGAAGTCGGTTGACGGTGCGGATAAAAGTTTTTGAACACTTGATGTCTTTTTCCATGTAACAAGGGCGGAGCAAGCCGCTTGTGAGGAGGTTTCCTGATTTCTTTCAGGTGTTACCGTGAAAGGAAATCCTTCTACGAGCAGTAGCCCTTATAGGTTTTAGTCAAATGAGTGATCACCATTTATTTAAAAAATCTTAGCTGTGCACCTGTGATCCCTGTGTTCCGTACAGATCACAGGGACCCAAGCATCACGTTTTAATATATGTTGATTTTACTGTCATGAGGAATGACATCTGTATAGTATTATTGTTAGTGAAATTGTAGAGCGCATTTTATCGCAAAAGAGGAGTATTAAATAATGTCTGTGAATAATTGGTTATAGATACAGAAAACGTTCACGAAAAGTATAATTTTGTTTAGGTACAATACGACCGCATGTTCTGCACCCAGCGTTTTCACCTGATCAGTTAAATGAGTTATTATTGGTTATTGGCCAAAAAGTTATTGTGTTTTTAGGAAATTTATAACAAGAAAAATTCAGAATTATGTCTGGATAGGGAAGGAAAAGGGTTGTAGTTCAAAATGAAGTCCAGCGTAATACTCGTAATTTTATATTACTGCATGTTCCTAAAAGGAATCTTTGGATTTCGAGAAGTTGCTCAGGAGGGTTTCGCTCGTGGTCTTTCTAAAAAAAAGCTGTTAGGAGGGGCACCGTATAAAGCGTGAGGAATTTAGGAGTTTGACCAATCTAAAAGCTATGGAATTAATCCCCAGATAGAAATGAATCATGAAAAGTGCGTTTAGAATATACTTTCTTCTAATTTTTAATTATAATTGTATTGTGCTAATACACACATTAGTTAAAAATTTGTCCCTCCCAGTTCCTTTGGTGAGTGAGATTATAAGCGAATATTTAATAGGTGCTGTTTTTAACATTTTACCATCTCAAATATGTGTTATTTCAAAAGAATCTAAAATAATGCTTTCAAACTTCATAACCTAGAAGACAGAATAGCAAACAGAGATGTTTACGCAAATTAAAATGGATCTTCTACTCTATAAAAAATGTTTCAAATGAAAATGCTTAATTCGTAAATGAGCTGTCCCCCAAGTGTCCCTTTCTCTGCGTTATC